ACCGGTGGATCCTGCATGCATCATCCATGGCGATATGGAGATGCAAGAACAGCAACTCGGTATTGCAGGCTTTCCACTCTGAATTTGTTCATAGAAGATCAGCCATAAATCTCTGTATGAGGTCTACATGCATCAGCCAGTCAATCCAATCAATATCAGACAGCATCTATTAAACTTAAATTATCGAATTAGGAGCAAACATTGGTGCCTCTTTATGAAAAATCCTGGTAGGCAGAGCCCTACCAATAATTTGGACATTTTACCATTAAACCTATGACATTGAATGATAACAATGGCTTGGACACGAGTGCCACTTTCCGAAATTTATTGGTAGGGCTCTAATAGCTTATGTTATGGTACCAAAGTCATTTTTACCAGCATCGCCACAGGGCCAACACTAAAATTCTAAGAATATTGGTGGGGCTCGGGCTTATCAAGTCTATAAAAACGACATCCATGGGCCATGGCCTGAGATAATCTAAAATAACCCGCCAGACCCTTACAAATAATTTTCAGAAGGTGACGCCCGTGCCACAAGCAGGCAATGCTTTATGTCTCTCACGGTAAAGAAGTGATCGTTACAGAGTAGCATCTTGCTACGAACGTTTAATACTCACAAAATTTCAAATAAGTGCATCGTAGAGATTTCTCAAAACTTAAATTAATTGAAGATGCGACCTGCACGGCGCACGGCGGGCACCGACGTCAACATTGATGAAAAAGAGCCTGTTCATTGTTCAACAAGCCACAACTTCGCAAATTCGGATTATCCGGCTGCTGCAACATGTGGGCAGGATCCCTTGTGAGCAAAAACAATAATTACACCCCCATTCCAGCCTCAGAATCCCGCGCTACTCCAGTTCCCGCGCATATCATAACAAGGCGGGAACAGCTGATCCCGGGTTCAATGACCTTGTCAACCGGCAAGGGTTCACTGACCTCTGATGGTGCTGGGCATCACTCCGCAGTTGCTCCCCCGTGCTTTGATCGCAGTCTCCGGCTGTTTCGCAAATTTTTCTGTCAAGCACACATCACGCACAGCTCGCGCCACTACCAGCCGGGCACTGGGACACGCGTCTCCGCCGAACCCCTGCCGCACTACACATAACTGTACTCGCTTCTCACATGGGTCGGAGCTGGCGCAGCCGGTCAGCATCGATCGCCGAAACCTGTATGACACTGCCACCTAGCGAGTAGAGCCTGAACTAGCCTACCGAAGCCAGGGGCCGTTGAACCATTGCTTGGGACTACTACCACCAGATGTCAGGTAAGTAGCCAATGGCAAGAAAATGCATGTTGAGCCCATACAGTTTTTAGAAAATATATCACATTGTACCTACTCACTTGACACTTCAAATAAATGCAAATTTTTGATTTTGTCTTGAAAAATTGCCTTCACCTTTGTATGTAACCACCAATCTTGCTTCTCACCCTTCTACGGTCCACCGGAGATTCAGGGAACGGCCGGGGGGGGGGGGGAGCGCGGGGGAGCATTTGGGGCAAATAATGCCACCCCCCGCGGCTAGCGGCTACTGAAATCGACGAAAATGTATGGTTTTTCGAGAACAAAAGGAAAATAAAACAGCTTTGAAAAGGAAAAGTTTGTTTTAAAATGCATGGAAGTGCGTATGAATTCCAAATCCGATTTCCGAGGAGCTGTTTTTCGAAACTTTTTTCGGGGGGTAGGTGTGCCCCTGCGGCCCGCACTCCGCAGCGTCCAAGACTGCCTTTCTGGATCCGCCATTACCACGGTCCCAGACCCACACTTCGATACCTATCTAATTATGAAATATACATGCGTAAGGTGGACCGAGAAGTGAAAGACACCGTTTTTATTTGAGTTATGTCGGTTAGGCATAATCGGCCTCTGATATCTATGATATCCAGGCAGAGCATTCAAACTTTTCCCTAAATTACACCAAACCCCATGATCCGGGCTGGACGATGACTGTCCGGCCAAATTCATGTGACAGGGAACGTCCTCAGGGGCATGCTGTGGGGTGAGACTGGACGCATAGCCTGTACACTCATTCCACTGCCCGGTGTCTATCGTGACCGGCGTGACCGGCTATCGTGACCGGCTGGGCGGCCTCGGGTGGCCGCCCAGACCAATGTCTCTTCACTCTTATTTTAACCCGCGCCGGGCCGGGGGGGGGGGTGTTTGAACACCCCCCCCCTGCGATTTTCGCAGCTATCTCAAAAACAGGGGCGCGGAGCGACGCCGTTTTTGGCACACCTGTTCATGCATCTTTTCCGCACATATTGTTAACCTTCGCCCCAGTGGGGGGGGCATATGTTACCACCCTGTCGCGTTTTTTGCGTGTGAATAAAAAACCGCGGCGCGTAGCGCCGCGCCGCTTGGGGTAGCTTTTGGTACATCAATTTTGGACAATGTGTGAAATTTTTGACCCCAGGTCATGTCAGGTCAGGTCACCAGGTCAAGTTAACTGACCAAGCCTAAAAAAAAGTTTGCAATCATGTCCAGCCTGCAGTGTTTGTCAGAAAGGTTTCAAACTTGGTGGATTGCATGCTGTTATGGGCGCCTACAATTTGTATATCTCGGATTTTTTATATCCGTGACCTAAGGTCAGGTCAGTGGCGAAAACTTTCCATTACAAGTCAATGGAGAAAAATGAAAATGCCTCTAGATCCGTGTGTACGCATCGGAACAGTCCAAATATTTCAGAATCACAATGATTTAGTCCACTCGTGATGGCCAAGGTGTCATTTTTGCTGATAGCCTCTAGACAGGTCATCCGAGGTCACTTGAGGCTACAAACAGTTTTTTGCCAATAACTCGCGATTGGAAAGAGATAGAACGCTGGGGATGGTCTCATTGTGTTTGCCTTGTTGAGACGCATCGACTGATATGCAACATGACCTTTTCCGGTAAGGTCATGACCTTGACCTGAGGTCAAATTTTCAACTTGACCTTTCAAGGTCAAATCATAGTTCATTCGACGCGTCTCGGCGAGAGGAACACGATTCTGGCAATAGAAATGTCGTGGCTTTTTGTAGTCGAAAGTTATTGTCGAAAAACACTTTTCGTAAAAACAGCTATTTTTGGACGTTTTGCCCTCTGGAGGCCAAACCGTTGACCTGAGGTCAATATTGATAATGACCTTTTCAAAAGAAGAGTTTAAAAGCTATCGATTGCTTTTCCCTGCGTTATTCTAGCTACCATAGTTCCTGAGATAGCGGCATGTTTTCTGAAAAATATAATGACAATTGGCAAATTTTGACCTTTGATGACCTCTGGTGACCCCAATATTGCTCTAAGGTGAAAAATGACTGAAATACTTTCAAACGTACGCATTGAGAGCTATCGACTGCTTCTTACCGCGTCTTTCTAGCCCTCTTAGTTTTTGAGTTAGAGGTGGGTGGTAACATATGCCCCCCCCTCACTAGGGCGAAGTTGGCTGAGACCGCCACTGGGGCGCGGGATAAAAATTCAGACTCAAGGCTTTCAAGGTCAGGTCACCAGGTCACGTCAAACGACCTCACCCCAGAAAAAGTTTCAATCCTCGTCATAGCTACACCGACTGAACAATCGCCTTGAAACTTTCAGCGATTGATAAGAGTAACAGTATGTACAAAATGTATAGCTCGGAATTTTGACATCGGAGACCTAAAGTCAGGTCAATTTTGCGACCTCTCCATTGCAAGTAAATGGGAGCAAATTGAAATGCACCTCTTGTGGATGAATGGTGCTCAAAACCCACTCAAATATCGGTTCATGGCCAAACATGACACACTGAATCGGAAAATGCAACTGTGACCCCTTTGTGACCCCTCAGGTCATATCAGGTCATGAACGGTCACCAACAGTTTTTTGGCTATAACTTTTGATAGAGACGTGCTAGAGTGATGAAAACACATTACATATATTTAGCTCGACGATACGGGTCGACTGATATGCAACATGACCCATTCCGGTCAGGTCATGACCTTGTGCTGAGGTCAAATTTTCAAAATGACCTTTCAAGCTCAACTGATAATTCATTCGACGCTGCTCGACGAGAGGAACACGACGCTGGCAAATATATCGTCGTGGCTTGCTTGAATCTAAAGGTTTTACCGATTTTTTTTCGTGAAAACGGCTATTTCTATAGTTTTTGCCCTCTGGAGGCTAAGCCTGAGGTCAAATCTGAGAACATTGCTTAGAAATGTCTGTAAAAAGGGGCAAAGGGCTATCGAATGCACTTTTCCGCGGCGTTGTACCTCTATTGGTTCCCAAGTCAGCCGTTGGCAGTTTTCAAAATTGTTGAAATGGACTAGGTACATTTGGCCTTTGATGGCCTCTGGTGACCTGACCTTTGACCTGACCCAAAAATGACCGAAGTGTTTCCGACTCCGTCATTATTTTTGGCGCTCTTTCGAATGCCGCTTACCGCATGTCGCTACGTGGCCCAAAGCCGAGTTAGACGGGGGTGTTCAAATACCCCCCCCCCCCACGGCCCGGCGCGGAAGTCGTGCAGCACCGGCCCGGCGCGGGTTAATTAATTCCTCCCCCAAAACCCTGATCCTGATTCCTGGGTGAGCCCATGCATCGTCACTAGCACACCCTCGATGAGATTTTTTAAAGGTCGCGTGTTTTATATTCGAGAGAGATAGACATCAATTTAAGTGCGCATTCATACTTAGCTACCTATCTATCTGAAGTGTATGCCAAAGTTCACAGGAAATATACATAAAATACAAATCGTGTGCAAAGATGTATATCGAATGCATAAAACGAAAGTCGAAACAGACACATTAGTAGTTATTACATATATGTCAATAAATTAGAAAAAGGTAAACAAACATTCATATTCAACAGTGCCTCTCAACCATTCAAGAAAGCGGCTTTCAAATTCACGACATGTAATGTGTACGAAATACAAACTGTGATATGAGATATCATTAATTATGTTTCCTTCCTTGGAGTCCACCGTCCGCACCCAAGCAATGAAACTGGACCTATAGGACCATGATTGAGATGAAACATCATTTGCAAATACCTATCCCTGGTAGCGAGGCCTGTAGCCCACGATGACACGCTCGAACCGGACCGGCGGAACCCTGAGCTCAGTCTCGGAGGCAGTGGTGTAGCTCTGTTCAGTCCTGACCTCAACTTCTTCGGCTCTGACCTCGGCCTCGGGGGCAGAATAGACCCCTTCAGCTCTGACCTCAGCCTCGGGGGCAGTGTAGGCCTCCACGACCCTGACCTCAGCCTCGGGAGCAGTGTAGACCTGGACAGCCCTGACCTCAGCCTCGGGGGCAGAGAAGCCCTCCACGGCCCTGACCTCAGCCTCGGGAGCAGTGAAGCTCTGCTCAGCCCTGAACTCGACCTCGGGAGCAGTGTAGCTCTCCTCTGTCCTGACATCAAACTCTTGAGCAGTAAAGCGCCGTACGGCCTCGACATCCTTTTCGGGGGCAGAATAGCTTCCGTCAGCCCTGACCTCAGCCCTGACCTCAGTCTCGGGGGTAGTGTAGACCTCCACGGCCCTGACCTCAGCCTTGGGAGCAGTGTAGCTCTGGACAGCCCTGACCTCAGCCTCAGTGACGGGCACCTCTGGCGTCGGGTACTCGGTCGGCACCGGCGTCGGCAGCGCGTCGCTCTCGGCGCGGAAGCCCAGCGCGTCGGCCACGTAGCGCACGCTGACCTCGACGCCCTCCGGCGACGTGTAGCTGTAGCTGCCGAACACGGTGCCGTCCCTGCTCTCCTCCTGCCGCAGGATGTTGTTCTCGGAGAGGAAGCGGAAGGCGAAGCCGTCCTGTCCGATGCGCTCGCTGGACTCCTCCAGGATGCGGGCTGTGGCCGGCTGGAGGGAGCGCTGCTCGGGGGCGGCGTAGGAGCGGGACGGCGCGGCGGCGCACGCGGCAACCAGGGCGGCAAACAGCACCTGAAATCGAAAGACAATATGGAAGTTGTATTTAAGTCGTATGCATTTAGGTATAAGTCACTGTTCATCAGTGACTGTCATTGTTTTACAGGGTGTCTCAAAAGTTCGTTTACACATTTCCCATGCCAATAAAGCATATAAGAACCGGCCAAAAGTATAAGGTTTTGGTGTCTGTGTGTACACTAGACAAATATGCATGCTTTGACAACTGATTAAGAAGGTTGGAAACCAACCCCTTTGCTGTATCTCCAAAAATATTTGCCCATACCGATTTTTGTTGCTCCGTCAGCTGCCGGAGGCTGATAAAAGGTTACCAGCTTTCAAGCTCTTGCAGGGGAATCCCCTGCAGTTTCTGCGTCGGATTTAGTTTTGACTAGCTCCCCGGCAACATCTGATTTTCCCTGAAAGCCGACAGCTTGCATCGACACCATTCATGAGTATTTTGTAGGCATTCTCTGGCGCTAACTCCTTCATGAATGACTGGCGCCGACATCCAAAGCGCCATTTTCCTTTTCAAAACGACCCCAGTCCTGAACAAACGGGAAGTGCCAGGAGTAAATTTTTCGCATCATATGGTAGCATAATGTGTCGGACGTCTGTTTCTCAGACACATTGTGCAAATTTTGCAAATTCCAAGCGCTCGTCATTCCCCATGCCAAGGCCTTCGCTCGGTTGCGGAGTGTTTTCCTCGGGAGAGGTTCTGCTTTGTAAACGGCCCAAACCTGTCCATCGTGTGGTTTTATCGGGATTTTGTGTTTAAAAGAAAATTATTCGCTGCAGATCTGCCTCTTGAAACTTCGTTAGATAAAATTTTACAATAACTGACACTTTTGGAGGGTCAGGTGTCCTTGGCATTGACGATTTTTGTGTTATTGTCCCCAAAAATTAGCGTTATAGATATTATAAACAACTTTAAATTATAATTTGCCTTTATTTTACGATGACCTGCACTTTTTGAAAATGTGTAACCTCTGTCTGTGAGCTTCTTGCCAGTTTTCAATAGTTATGACCGCATTTTCAGCTGCTTTCCGGAACACGAGTCTGCTGTCGTGCGAGGGTCGTTCAAAACGCCGTTAGTCTCGCATGGTTTCGTCCTTCAAAAATTTTAGCCACCGTTTTTATGAGATGATCATCATGTTGCACTCATCCTCGCCGACACTTAGCCATGTGTCATTTCCGACTTAACCATTCCCATTACTCCTGAAACAGAGAGTTTCACAACATACCCGACTTTGCAACCTACATTTTCGTGCCTGACCCATGGTCAGAGGTGAACCCTTTTTGTGAGCTCATGAAGGGTCGAATGCACTTGAAAACAATGAGACTGCTTGAGGAAGGTTGTCACCAATGCCCATGCGAAATTTCGACTTTTAATTTCTTGTTGATTCAGAATTATTGACAAAAAAGCATGGCTGGTACCTGTAAGCGAACTTTTGAGACACCCTGTAGTTGCTTTGAGGAATTCTTCCCAGAGCTCGACTTCTATTGAACGATTAGAAAAACCTAAAACATAAATAATACCTATAATATGTAAAAAAGACATATTCACTGATGATCAATGCTGAGTCCAAATACAATCACGAGTGACTCTTCCATCAATTGCAAGTATTATCAACCATATCTTTGCATGTTTTTTCACTTACCAGCTTCATACTCGCCGCAATTGTAGGCACTTGTGATGTCCTCAGAGAACTGATGGATCCCTGGCAGCCGTTCTACGTTTTATACCTGATCTGATCTAGTTATTCACGGTCTGCCGGCACGGAGAGGACAGGATCGTCCACCTTCCCTGTCGAACGGCAGACACTCCAGTTTTTATCCCCTAGGAATGTCGGCTGTAGTCGGTCGGCTGTTACTCAACAGTCTCAGCTCAGAGCCGGTGGATAGAGGGCACAAGCCCGACTATGGCGTCCTCACATTTCCAAAATTGTCTTGTCATTCGTGTGTGCTGGATAAAAGACGTCCATGAAACGGAATGCGTGTGTACTGGAATACTGTACCGTGTCTGATGGCCACGACCAAGGCACCATGAAGATAAGTAAATAGGTAGTGCGACTGCGGCAACAGCATCATAATAATCAGACATGTGCATGGATCCGAGTGATGGATCTATGATCTCAGTGGATCTCGAAGCAAAGTACAGGTTGGGATCTATGATGCCACCGGATCCGGAGTGAAAAATACATCTTGGATCTATGATCTCATATGATCTGACGATAAATTAAGAACATGGATCTATGATCTGAGTGGATCCCACCATGCACCACATTTGAAATCATGTTTTAAAGGGTTTCTATGCCAATAAGTGACACAAAACTATAGATTATGACGTGCGATCACATAAAATCACTAAAACAGAACGTCTGTGACTTAAAAACAGGTGCTTTTTAGGGATATATGCGTCGACAAAAATAAGTGAGGATCTATGATCTCAATGGATCTCAAGCAAAAACTGAGACTCGGATCTGTGATCCCTACGGATCTCTCGATAAATTACAGAGCTGGATCTATGATCCCGTCGGATCCGAGATCAGGATCCGTGGGATCAGATCCCAGATCCATTTTTTCGGATCCATGCACATGTCTGAAAATAATTTGTCGTAAAAAAGATATAAGAGAGTGAGACAGACACCTTGTTCTTTAAAATCAACCCCAAAATATGGCATGTATTGTCCTGACCTTGACCTAACCTCGGACTGAACTTAATGAAATATGGTCCATATCACTAACTGAGCATGACCATTGAGTTCTATTGTTAAAATGGCCCATAAAAATTGAGTCGCAAATGCTCTATTAAATAGCACGTTTCAGATCTTTGGTTATCTGACCTAGCCTTGACTTTGAACTTTATATGACATCCTACGTACTGCATCTTGTCTTGGTAGCCTGTACTAAGTACGCATTCTTAATCATCAATCGCAATCCAATCTTGGCCGACTAGGCTGCTACACTGAAAACAATTTAGCCCTCGTTCTTATAGGTCGAATGGGCCCACCTCCCCCTCGGTTTTTCGCAAAAAAAAAACTTGCGCAAAAAGGGGCCGGTCGCAACGATACCATCAGTGCACTCGAGGTGATAAATTTTACACCTATCCTAAAAATTTCACACCCCTGACCCAAATGACCTTTGACCTGTGACCTGTTTCTCGAGGCCATGTTTGGCCGGAATCGCGATTCGGCGTATGTCAACTCACATTACCCGGGCGTTTCCAGTCTTTTTGTGGTTTTAAAGTTTAAAACCACAAAATTAAAAAAAAATTAAAACGTTCAAACATGTGAAATGATGGTGGTCCCATGCATTGTGGTGAGATTCAAGGTCACGTGAAGGCCAGGTCAGGACAGGTCAATGACCTGTGATGACCTTGGTTCACTTTTTCGAGTTTTACATGTTTCTAGGCTAGTTTTCTTAGCTGATTTCGAATTAAGCAGCCATTTGAACATTAACGAAGTAGTTCTGGTGCCTTCGTCAAACATGTTACGAAACTGTCAGTGTTGGTTAACAATTGACGCCTACTATGAATACCCAGCAGGACGCCTCATGGTTGACCTGACCTGACCTGAACTGACCTGACCCGTCCTGGCCTAAATGCATGAAGACGTCATCTGGGATCAAAACTAACATCACATTCGTGATCAGCACCCCGAAAAACCGTTTAATAATTTCATTCTAAGAAGTTTTGACAGGTCCCGATTTTCGAGACCTTTTAATCATTGTCCTGACCAGGAAGTTCAACCAATGACCTAGGACCTTAAAATTGGGTATCATCATTCATCGGTTTCCTTTCGTCACGGGCAACACGCTCGTTTTTCCACGAAGCCTTAGCTCGATTAGGGGCCGAACAATTATGGGGGGGGGGGCAACCGACTTCTTCCCCCTTTACGTTCGCGGCTGGCAAAACACGAATACGGGCGATGGTTAACACATTCGGCCTGTTAAACCTCGTGTCCGTGCAATTATGGTTAGAAATGCCACAAAGCTGTGAATTGTGATGTGCTTCATGATACATGATATCCTTCAAACAGAACCACTGCATAGTGCATATTGCAACTAGTGATCTTTTAATATTTATGTGTCGATAAAAGTGATTAAGGATCTATGACAAAACATTGGATCTCTAGAGACTGATATAGGTTTGGATCCACAATGCCAATGGATCTTAAGACAATTTGGAGTGCTGGATCTATAATCCTATTGGATCCAAGATCAATATACCTACTTGGGATCAGATTGCAGATCCATTTTCTCGGATCCTTGCAAATGTCTATATTGTGTGGCAACGAGGAAATATTGATTGTATTTCTTCTTTTTTTAGCTTCACTCGACATATCTTTAGTACGTCCAAGATCTTGTTTTTTAACGTTTATTAAGTCGACAGTCAACACGCAACTCACCATAAAAATGTCTATCGCACATTTGTCTACTATGAAACTTATCTTCCTCTAGCGTCTCTTTCCGTGTATGTATGTGTATTTACATATTTACAATGAACCGCCCTGTACCAATTTCATCTAAAGTTTCGTTCGTGAGATATGCTGGGAATAGTCTTGGCGGGTACAGCACTGCTTTACTAAGCCTGGTATGCCTGCCCCGCACAAGCTGCGGTTGTTTTGTCACATATTTCATGCACCACAGTTCTAAAACATTCGTCTCGATCGCAATACCATGTTTATTTTCCAGACCTTTCACTCACCATTACATAGTTAGGCTCAGCAACTTCAAAAAACTTCATAAATAGACATTCGCAATGCAAATTAAGTTCAGACATCGACCAGCGTTTCACTCACCACTGCCCTAAGAAATATTCGAATACGAAAGCGAGCGTTTACAAGCACGGGTATTCTCTTTCATGCACCGATAAATATGTACATAGACCGCATTAGAGAGAGATATTCACTGATAGCGGGGCCTGTAGCCGACGATGACACGCTCATACCTTACTGGCGCCTCCACACGCACCTCAGGCTCGGGGGCAGAGTAGCTCTCCTCAGCTCTGACCTCAGCCCTGACCTCGGCCTCCGGGGCAAAATAGCTCTCCTCAGCCCTGACCTCAGCCCTGACCTCGGCCTCCGGGGCAGAATAGCTCTGCTCAGCCCTGACCTCAACCTCCTCAGCCCTGACCTCAGCCTCGGGGGCAGTGTAGACCTCTTCAGCCCTAACCACAGTCTCGGGGGCAGTGTAGACCTCCACGGTCCTGACCTCAGTCTCGGGGGCAGAATAGACCCCTTCAGCCCTGACCTCAGTTTCGGGGGCAGTGTAGACCTCCACGGTCCTGACCTCAGCCTCGGTGACGGGCACCTCTGGCGTCGGGTACTCGGTCGGCACCGGCGTCGGCAGCGCGTCGCTCTCGACGCGGAAGCCCAGCGCGTCGGCCACGTAGCGCACGCTGACCTCGACGCCCTCCGGCGACGTGTAGCTGTAGCTGCCGAACACGGTGCCGTCCCTGCTCTCCTCCTGCCGCAGGATGTTGTCCTCGGAGAGGAAGCGGAAGGCGAAGCCGTCCTGTCCGATGCGCTCGCTGGACTCCTCCAGGATGCGGACTGTGGCCGGCTGGAGGGAGCGCTGCTCGGGGGCGGCGTAGAAGCGGGACGGCGCGGCGGCGCACGCGGCAACCAGGGCGGCAAACAACACCTGAAAGTAAATGAAAGAAGTTTGTATCATGTTAGGATACGCTGTATCCGAAACATGACATAGTAGAGTTCTCATGACGGTTTTCCAACAAAGCAGCTTGAAACATAGGCGGCGGAACGGGGAGGGCACCCGGGCACCGTGCCCCTACTTGATTTTGACATTTTTACATTAGCCCTATGGGCGTTGCATGGAAAGAATGGGACCAAAAGTCGGCAGTGCCCCCCCCCCCCCTTCCTTAATTGAAAGTGTTCCGCCGCTACTGGCTAGAAATGATAACACATATATCGTAAAAATTGCAATAAAGCTTACCAGCTTCATGATTTTCTGTGATGTTTCACTGTGTGTGATCTGGACTGAAGTGATATCCATACAGGAAACCATCACCATTTTATACTACCCTGCGGACCAGTCCAGGCTCGTCGTTTGTACAAGGTCGCCTGGTGGCCCGGTATCTCCCGGCCGGCAGATGCTCCCGTTTCGAGGGGAGAATCTCACTATATTTCACAACCGGCCGCATTGAGGGGATGCTGGCTCTCATGGTCATCTACCGGGAACGTCCGTCCTTAATGTGAACAGGTTACCTGATCGGATCGATCAGAGGCAAAATCATCCATCCGCAACGGTTCATATGAATGAATACGTACTCTGAACGCGCCGTTGGTGGCCAAAAGCCATTTCGGTGGCTCTTTTTGTGTCTGTGCGATCAGTATTCCATTGAATATAAATGGTCATGAGTGAAAGATGGCACATAATTTCAAAATGAGGGACGCAACTTTGTGTAGATTCAAAGGATGTGCCTCAAATTTTACCACTTGAAATAAAAAGAGCTGATCGTCTGGGAATCGTCTGGGAATCGATTATAACAATGGTTAGGGGAAGGTGGGGTAAGACGGCCCAGCGGGGCAAGACGGACCACCAGCCCTCCCGGCTGAACCGCTGCTGGTATCTACTGCTTTATGCACTCACCATGTTTGTTTTCCTTCGTAACAATGGCCACCTTGAGCTCATGAGGCTAGGATGCATAGCTTTTGAGTTATTGAGAAAAATGTTGTTTTTCGTCAAACCGATCTAATATAAGAGGTCTACGGGTGATTCAATTACGGCGCCTTTCTTGCATGATTAGCTTCTATTTTGCACTTTACTGTGAAGAACAAAGTTATAAACTTGGTTATAGTCACACTTTAGGAAAGGCAAGGTTTTGCAATGTTGGGCTATTTGACATATACGTCATGATAATGACAGAATTTAGATTTGGGGCAAGACGGACCACTGTGGTCCATCTTACCCTGTGGTGGTCCATTGTACCCTGCATATGGAAAGTTCTTTTCCAAAACATTGACACAAGATTAAGTAAGCTAATTTTTAATGAAGGAGTCTTTGTTGCATGTGAGCCATGCATGCAAGTGCTCAGTTAGCATGCATTCATGCCAAACGACAATCAACACACATGTTCCCAGCTTTTAGCTGCACTTCCATCACACATGAATAAAGAATAAAGGCTCATTTTGTTATTTTACCATTCTGGTTACTTTTTCTTACAAGAGTAGGTACAGAGCAGAAGTGTAACACACATGAACGGATAGCAGGCACTGCTGGGTGGTCCGTCTTACCCCACGTTTTTTCTTGTCTGAGTTTTTGACATGTCCCTCTTTAAGAGCATCCACCACCTAGATGTCTTTAATTTGAAATTTAGTCTTTACACATATCAATAGAGGAAGGATTGAGCATTCCGTTGACTATAAATAATATGAATTACGAGAGAAGTGTAGCAAGATATGCGGCCTCAAACCTTAGCTGGTCCGTCTTACCCCACCTTCCCCTATATCAAAACAATGGTGATCGTCGATCGATGACAACGGTGTGAAGGAGAAAAACCAAACCATTTTTCAAACAAAATAAGCACACGTTTTATAGCATTTTTTGTTTCTATGTTTTTATTGGGTGATATAAGCATGTTTCCGCTAAAACTAAAAAAAGATCAATCTATAATATTCAAATCCATCTGCATATAATCCTTAGTAATAAAATCTCCCAATGCTGAAAATTACCAGTTCGGATTGCATTTTCTGCAGCTGGAACTTCCAATGTCTTGTAACATTGCCCTGATAACTCTCACTTAGGACAAATCTGCCCTGGAGTTTCGGATATGCTCAGGCACAGACTTCTCTATATATGGACTGTGCGCTGATCCGAGGAAATCAGCATTGGAGGCCCAAAAATAAGTGCACTTTTATCCATCTTTTTACAATGAAAAGGGTGTCAGAATATTTACAAATTTGGATATAGGATAGCCCATACTTTTATCTACCTGTCGGATTACATTTTTTTGTTGAATTCAAAATAAATAAGAAATAAATGTATATAAATGAGAACATGTTTTCTCGTTCAGTTAGCCATTTGTTCACGCTGGAGGTACATACTTCACAAATGCAGCCGTACTTTGCGCGCATTAGTCCTAGATATTATTTCCTGTATTTTTCTTAATATCGTTCGTTATCTGCTTAAAAAAGGCCGAAATATGCATAAATAAAATACAGTACCTAACAATAACTACACGTTAGATACTGAAATACTGGCAGTTCTAATTACTCAACAGCTCAGCAAAGCTTACAAATTTTCTTTAAAACAGAAGCCCTCGATGAAATCAAGCTATCCAAGAAAACCATCCAAGAAAACGTCTCGCGCAAAGTTTCTTGGATGGCTGGATTGCATTGCAAGACTGCATCAAACATACAGGAAACAGCTCGAAAAAATGGTCAAAAAAGGAAAGAATATTATCGATCACAGGGGGCGACACGGCTATTCGCGCAATGTATTCATTTATGGGCCGCGCGGGGCCTCGCGATGACGCGGCTGGAGGCAACTGCTCAGCGCGCTAGGATACTTCTGGCGGGGCCGGGCGCTGAACGGTGTGCAATGAATGGGTTATGGTCGGGCAGACAGAGATGAGGCATTGAATTTGAATTGACATCAGCAATCGGGTGGGTAAGGAGAACGTTTCTAATCGAGCTTGGGATGGGGAAAGCCGAAAATATCACGATCGGCTCATAGCTCCGACAGGGCCGGGTGCTGTACCATGTGTAGTATATTTAGGCGGGCAGACAGAGATGAGTTATTGGATTTAAATTCACCTTACCATCGGTTTCTGGTGAGGTTTGAAGACGTCTTTAGTCAAGCTCGGAGTGGGGCAACGGCCACTGGCGGATCCAGGGGAAGGGATTTGGGGCAAATGTCTTCCCCAACAACCAGGGCAGCGCCCGAAATCGATTTTCGAGAATAAATGAAAACTTCACAACTTTTCTGAGGAAATGCTGGTTAATCACACCGCACAGCAGTGCGCAAGGAATCGAAATCCGAGTTTTTTAAATTAATTCCGAGAAACCTTTTTGGGGTAAGCCCCCGCAGTGTCCAATACCGCTTCCTGGATCCGCCAGTTGTGAATAAGTCACGGTCGATACCGAGCTGATCGGCGGGACCAGGCGCTGTACACGTTCTTTGAATGAAGAGGTGGACAGACACCTAGCCCCACATCCTATCTGCTATGCCCGTGCTTCTGTGGGTGAAGCACTAAAGCATCACGGAATCCCAGAGGACCTGCGAGTCGACGAGGTGGCCGCTTTGGCCGCCGGGTACTGCAGCTCCCTGGAGTTGCCTGGGACCGATGGCAAAACAACAGCTCCGGCGGTGCCCCTATGGGCCGTAGTAATTAGTGAATTCCCGTAATGTAGAGATCATATCCTCTGTATTTAGGGCCTTGGTATCCTCAATGATCTCCATTACCATTTTATATTCCTAAACAATATGACAGACCAATTATGCTTGCCTACGTTCAGGCATTACCTCTGATGGTCATACGCCCAGTACAACATGTGTTGTCTGTCAAACAACAATCGACGACGGGATCCCTTCTCATCATCTCTTAAGCCATCGGTTGTCAATTCACCCACCCCGTTTCCCTAAAAATAGACTGTCAGATTCGGCCTGGGTCCTTACGACCCCTCTAAATTCGCCAGAGACGGGATCGGATCGCCGTTATTGCACCCGTCTTGGTGACAGCTTCGACCACGGACGTCGGACGGGGTGATCGTTCCACGAATGTACGCACCATCCAGGCCTAGGATGCATCGAGGTTTAAAAGGATGTCGTCTGTAGATCAATCAACAAACAATGGTGGTATGCAACCACTTTAACCCGCGCCCCACTGGGGTCTGCGTATAACACGCCCTACTGGGGGGGGGGGGGGGGGGCTATTCATAGCCCCCCCCCTCCTAACTCCGAAACTACTGGGCCGATCGTCAAAATTCAAACGGCGTCTGATAGCCCCGGAAAAACTGTCGAACGAAACCTAATTTCATTGACCTCGAGGTCACCGATGACGTCACAGGTCAGGTCAAAGTAAAAATTATTAGCATTTTACTTGTTCACGTTTTGGGCTCTGGCCGCCGTCTTACAAGTCAGATCAGGCTCATTTTTGGATCACACACTCGTGAACAGATGCTCTAGATACCCCGAGGGTACCAAACTTGTACTTTGATTTTCAGGTCAAGGTCAGGTCATCACAGGTCACGAAAATATTATATCATGCATCGGTCACGTGACACATGTTTTATGGTCCATTTAGGCCAGAGATTTCGAATGTGATGTCGTCTGTGTCATTCGAGGTCATTTTGAGTCGAATTTAGCTTAGGTCAGGTCACTTTCAGGTCAAAAAAGGTCAAATTTTGAAGTTAAAATTTTTCAACAAAAAAGGTGTCTATTGGATGCAGTTTGAGCTCAGGAACACGATGGTGCTATTTATATTGGCGTACGATGTCAAATACGTGCTGAAAAATTGATTTGAAAAATTAATAATTGTGAATTTTTTGCAATAATGCGTAAAACTTGGCCATTTTTGAAGATATTTAGCTAAAACTTGCTAGAGTTAGTCATAATGATGCGTTCTATCACATATATTCCGGTTTTTTCGAAAAGTCAAAAACTTTTTGAAAAAAATGTAAAAATATAAATTTTGGATTTTATTATATCAAATTTTCGAAATTTTCAAAATTTCGAAAATCCGAGATAGCAGTTTGATAGCGCAGTCTATTCTGAGTCCTCTCATGCAAAGAAATTGGATCTAGCTTAAAAACTGAGCTCTTGGGAGCGATTGCCGTGGTTCAATGTTTTGCGTCGAAATCGGTCGAACATGACGTCACTCTGACGTCATTTCCGGCCGACCTATGGTAGCTACGAAGTTAAAATTTTGACACAAGGTGTCAAATTGATGCAGCCGAAGGTACTGAAAGTTTGGCGTCGATACGTCAAGCGGTTTGGAAGTTATTGCAGAAAAACGGGAGGGGGGGCTATAAATAGCCCCCCCCCCCCCAGTGGGGCGCGGGTTAAAATATCTCCCTGGCTCCCGCAACGTTCCAACGCCCCTCCGTTATGCATTCGCCCTGTGTGTCCGCCGAGCCGGCTTGCCTCCAATGACGTCATCGGCCGGCCGGCGGCGTTCAAGGTCAAACGGCTGGTGTCCTTACCTGGAGTTCTATAGCCTTGATCGATCACTACCTCATCACGACCGGATCAGAAAACGTGTGGTGCGAAGATGTCATTCCGGGTATCAAGCCAGAGTCAGGGCAAGAAAAATGTGAAACGAAACATAATTTCTAGCAAAAATGCAACTTTTTAGCCTCCCGTATAACTAAAAAAAAATGTTCACAGACGAAACCATCAATCGAGATAAGAGATAACGCTGAGGACAATCAGATTTGCAAGTTTACTTTTGCAAACACTGACTCCTGTGAGACTCACACAGCAAGAAGAAAAACAGGACGCTATCGACGGCGCCAGTCTCAGCATACTTCCTATAATGCCTAGTGCCTTATTTTATTCTGGAGAAAAAAAGACTCACTGAAAGGAGCTACAAAGACTTAACTTGACCAGCAGTTAATGTGAAAAGAACAACTCGCCATCGCAGTTCGAAGCTACGCCGCGCTAAATAATGCCATACCCATGGCAGTGACACGCCACTACATCCAAAAGAAGTAAGCTTATTCAATCAAACAATGAAGCTTATCCAGTGTGTCGTATGGGGTTGTAGTTCATTATGGTCTGGATCAGATCATCTCGGAAGAATGCTCGATGAAATGATGGAATTCGTACCCTTCGCATCAATGTTAAACGATGAAGGTTGCCGCTCTTAAATGTTACCGCAAAACTTGCATCGGGATCGGGAAGCTCAAGAATACGCCAGTCTGCGAAGAACGGACGGAAAAATAGCGGTGGAGCAGAAACAAGATGCATAGGACTGATTGGAGTATAGGTAGCTGGGACAAACATCTGTGCCGGTGGTGGCCTGTTTTACAGGAACTGCTACTTTGGATATCTCAGGAAACTGGCAGGTCACCATTTCTAGGCCAGCTGTGGACATTTTTGATGGAGAAGCCAAGAAATGTGTCAAGGGCGAAGAGCATACTGTAACTAACGAGCTACAGAATATGACGGAGGCGCCGGGGGCACTAATCGTTTGGCCGAACGGGGAAGAGCACTCGATCCGCGCCCCGGCAGGTTACATGTGCTCCAGCTTCCGAGCTGAGATGGTCGCCCTCCGAGCTGCTCTCTCCTAGCTGCTGGAGAACCCGCCGCACGCCGAAGACACCATCGTAACCTGCACCGACTCGCAGTCCGCCCTCGCCGCCATCCGAGGTGGCTGTGCCGCCCAGCACTCCTCGCTCGGAGTGGACATCTGGAGAGCCCTCTGGGGACTGACAGCTGGAGGCCTGTTGGTCTACCTACAGTGGGTGCCCTCACAATGCAGGTTGGAAGGCAACGAGAGGGCCGACACCATCGCCAAGAAGGCAAACATACTCGACTAAAAACAAATCCTTATAGACGTCCAGAAGGCCCACTGGGCCGCCGCCAGAGTGGCGAGGGCTCGCACCGTCGGGGCCTGGCCAGCCGGCTGGTTCCACCAGCTGACGGGGATCGACTCCCGCCTACCGTTGCCGGCGGCGACCGGCCAGCGGCGGTGGACATCCACCAGCTCCGCGCCGGCCACTGGACAAGCTCCTCCCAATGGCGCCACAGAGTCGGGTTGGCGCCCTCCTGGCTGTCGGGGTGCAACCAGTGCGACGACCGACAATGCAGAGCCGCACTCTACCCGTCTGGTGAGAGGAGGCGGACAGCCCAAGCATGTCCTCCTGCGGTGCCCGGCTCTGATGGGCACCCGACATCGCCTGATGGCGACCATCAACCCCAACATGGAGGAGGTGCGGAGCGGCAGCATCGTGGTGGCCCTGGGGGCCGCCCACAGGTCCCTTCAGAGCTGCTCGGCTACGTCTCCATGGGACGAAGGGACACAATAAAAGCAACAATAGCTACAGCATGACAACGTGATGGGAACGACCGTCACAAGAGCTATCGCCTTATCATTCTGCAGCGAGTGGAAAACGAGCAGACGGAGGGTTACGTTGCAATTGGTGATGCGCATGTGCGAATGTGTGAAAGTGCGACTATGTGTAGATGCGTGGTGCGAAAAAGTGGGTAGCAGAGAAGAACAGTGAAGACACCGTAGCAGCAGACACACATTTTCCCGTTAAGTCCCCCATCGGCATTACCGCCAACCTTTACCACCAGCGCGGTCGGTGCACTGTCGCGCGAGTTTGTAGCCAGCCATGTCAGAGATGTGAACAATCCAGCACACGGGGGAAGAAGAAAGGGATGATAGCCACCCTTTCTCGCTGGATCCCGCGGTGAAAATGGACTAACGCCATTTTCAAGCCCACTGGTGCAATGTGAGATGAACTTGACATGAGGACATCAATGGGTGTCGATGAACGTGAAATAATGTTCCAATACAGATTCATATCGACCAGAAGCCTTTCTTATTCTGAGCTACGAGCAATAGATAGTACAAAAACAAAATATATTACATAAAATTCAGCCTGTCGACAGGAAACAATAAAAGGGTATTGTGTTACAACATATGGGTTCATATTACGGCTTCAGAAATTTGGGCCTCCAATGCTAATTTCCCAAATCAGCGCACAGTCCATATATAGAGAAGTCTGTGGCTCAGGAGACCAGAGCCACATCTGAACAAGTAGTCGGATAACATTGTTATTAACTAAGACGACTTAGCTCTTCCTGGTCGAAGGGGAAGAGGGCGGGTTTTAGTTTTTTTTCGCGATTGCTTTGAACACAATAGCTATAGAAAGTTAAAAGCTGACACAGCTGACCTTAAACCGAATTTGTGATACCAACCGGCAACCACACTTTCAGATCAGGTCGGGTTATTGACCTATGAAAGCATAAGTAAATCTCTGCCCGGTCCAAAAATGTAGCCACTTTGCACCGCCCTCAGTGCCAGGGGATGTTTCACTGGGAAACTTACAGAGGACTTCGTAGTCCCCCGAGACCTCACAACCGCAACCACAACCACAACCGCTATTGGATTGACATCACTAAGGACGGTGGTCCGAGTTTTCCTTCAATAATTCCCGATTGAGATAGCGAGTCGGGAAACCTACCATTTACCAACAGAATCGGGTTAATATCGACCGCATCAAACGATATGTGACATAACCTCTTTCAACCAGCTTTGTGACCTGAGAGGCTGCGACCAGACCTTACTGAGGTTGAACCTCTTACGTCAACCTTTCCCTAATACACAATGCATCAATCATGATCATGACAAATACGATTGTGCCAAAGTTTTGGCTTTGCGACCATCTTTGGCGAGGCTATTTAACAAAAATGAAACCCCTTCTTTAGGGCACTTGACCCGACCTCAGCGGTCACTGGTTGACCTGAGACTGTGAAATTGAGTACAATTCGGCGCGTCTCGTAACGGTGCATATTTAGATGTTGTATTTGAAGCCTTGATATTCCGATTATGAACGTAATTTGCGATAACGTTCACATATCGATCCGCATTAGCCTTCACCCCAGTGCATTGGGGGGGGGGGGGGCATATGTTACCACCCTGTCGCGTTTTTAACGTGTGAATAAAAAACCGCGGTGCGTAGCGTCGCGCCGCTTGGGGTAGCTTTTAATACATCAATTTTGGACAACGTGTGAAATTTTTGACCCCAGGTCATGTCAGGTCAGGTCACCAGGTCAGGTTAACTGACCAAGCCTAAAAATGTTTGCAGTCATGTCCAGCCTGCAGTGTTTGTCAGAAAGGTTTTAAACTTGGTGGATTGCATGCTGTTATGGGCGCCTACAATTTGTATATCTCGGATTTTTTATATCCGTGACCTAAGGTCAGGTCAGTGGCGTGACCTTTCCATTACAAGTCAATGGAGAAAAATGAAAATGCCTCTAGATCCGTGTGTACGCATAGGAACAGTCCAAATATTTCAGAATCACAATGATTTGGACCACCCGTGATGACCAACATGTCATTTTTGCTGATAGCCTCTAGAAAGGTCATCCGAGGTCATTTGAGGCTACAAACAGATTTTTGCCAATAACACGCGATTGGAAAGAGATAGAACGCTGGGGATGGTCTCATTGTGTTTGTCTTGCTGAGACGCATCGACTGATATGCAACATGACCTTTTCCGGTCAGGTCATGACCTTGACCTGAGGTCAAATCTTCAAGGTGACCTTTCAAGGTCAAATTATAGTTCATTCGACGCGTCGCTGCGAGAGGAACACGATTCTGGCAATAGAAATGTCGTGGCTTTTTGTAGTCGAAAGTTTTTGTCGAAAACACTTTTCGTAAAAACAGCTATTTTTGGAGTTTTTGCCCTCTGGAGGCTAAACTGTTGACCTGAGGTCAATTTTGATTATGACCTTATCAGAAGAAGAGTTCAAAAGCTATCGATTGCTTTTCTATGCGTTTTTCTAGCTACCATAGTCCCTGAGATAACGGCATGTTTTCTGAAAAAATATAATGACAATTGGCAAGTTTTGACCTTTGATGGCCTCTGGTGACCCCAATATTGCTCTAAGATGAAAAATTACTGAAATACTTTCAAACGTACGCATTGAGAGCTATCGACTGCTTTTTACTGCGTCTTTCTAGCCCTCTTAGTTTTTGAGTTAGAGGTGGGTGGTAACATATCCCCCCCCCCCCCCCCACTAGGGCGAAGTTGGCTGAGACCGCCACTGGGGCGTGGGTTAACCGAAACAACCAAAAGCAATAACTAAATACAAGGCTGTTGATTTATTCTTTCTGAAGTCAGATATCTTCCAATCAACCGATTAACTGCTACGTAATTTAAGTGCCAGTGGGAAACATTCACTCCGGTAGACAAATATGGTAACCGCGTGTCTCTGGCTCCCCTTACCAATATGAAAACTGAGCTGTGTCAGACAGCAATCCGTCACGTCTTGGGGACGGAATGAGCGAAGGAACGTAGCTGGCTGTCCACATCTCATCTCATGCTTCATGTTACCCAATACGCGGGCATGAGAACCGGAGCAGGGGCCGCGTGGCTCATATGTCACGTATCGCTGCGTGTAGGTCGACAGTACCGGACATCTCACTGTCCTCTGTTAAGTGAGCTCAAAGATAAGTAAGTCTGTGATGGCCCATTAGCATTCCAAAACTCAATGCACCCTTGGCGCTCATGAGCCCGGTGGTCACTATTACCTTCATGCGGCCTCAGTTTTTAGTTTTTACACCAATGATGCGTCATGCAATGTATGATTTATCCATTTCCAGCTCATGGCCATAGCTTTGGGATTTTGTAAGCTACATACGCAAAAGTTTTATTCTGGAAATCACCGTCACCCATTGACGGCTACAGTTGTATCATTCGGTCATTACAGAATATTACACAGTTACACAGCCTATATGTATGCTGATTTTGTTAAAATTCGTCACTTATTTATGCATGTATTTTTTGTTTGTTTGTTTGTGTGCTTGTTTGTTTGTTTGTTTGTTTGTTTGTTTGTTTGTTTGTTTGTTTGTTGTTAATTGCTGCTAATTTTAATTGGTATCACTTGAACAAAATAGGTTTTCCTTATCTCAATTTCGTTTTGTAAATGTCAGTTTTTATCGAAGAAGAACTTACGCATGCATACTGCAAATGTATCCGCATAAAAAGATAATGGGTGGAGACTTCCATTTCGCGTCTAGCTAGATGCGCCGTCTTAGACGCGTCTAGCCGGACGGCGGCTGCGTCTATCTGGCGACAGCTAACTTTAGACGCGTCTAGCTTGGAAGTGTCCGTCCAACAGTTAGACGCCAAGTTAGACGCCAACTTGGACGTCTGCTCAGTTAGACACCAGATGGACGCCAGTGGAAGTCTCCACCCAATATATTTTTGCATTCTGAGCCATCCGTAAAGAGGTTTGACTTACAGCCTACAGGCTAACCTCCTCAACCCTCTCATTTTTGTTTATGCGACCCGGTCGGCGGCCGTTCTTTATAACAAGTGTGTGTCTGCAAACGTGTTTGCGACATACAATTCGTGAAATAATTACCGAATTATAAATCGAAGGCCCAATAGCTAATAGTTGACAATGTCCCGGAATGGCAACTACCAGAACATTATAAAACATAGTCATCCTAAGTTATTATAGAATATCTTTTGGATTCCCATGCGTGATGGATAAGTTTTCGTGTCCCCATACTTGTCAATTGACAAGTATGGGTTAAGTACTTGTCAATTGCTTACGGCTCCCCATTAACCCTCGCCCTGGCAGGGGGGGGGGTCGATGCGACCCCCCCTAAGGTTTTTCGAAGATAGTGTAAAAACGGCGGCGCGCAGCGCCGCCAAATTTGGCACAGCCTATGGGGCAACCTTTTTACATATGACCTGAAAATTTCAGGTCCGGGTGACCTTGGGTCAGGTCACCAGGTCAGAAAAACCGGTACAAGGTCATGGTCAAATTTCAATTTTCTTTTTGCACCTGTCCAACTCACATTTTTTGACTGATTTCCTTCAAACTTTCAGGATGTGCTAAGTTCACCGATTTGTATAACATATAGTCCGGCTTTTTTGAGGTCACTGACCTGAGGTCAGCTAGAGGTCATTACGTCGTAATGTTAAGCCTATGGGAAAATACTAAATTCGGAAAATACTGGAGATATCCGCTTCGTTCTATCACTTTTGTACTTTGAAACCACGGTACTTAACAGCAGGTCACTTGGTGCTTCTTTGTTTGGTGTACTTATCCATGGATCGGGTCAAATGAGGTCAACTGAGGTCAAATGACGTTTTTGCCAATAACTTGGCACATAATGACGCTAGAGCTTAAAAAATGGTATCATTGTGTTCCTGGTGATCAGCCGATTCCAATGATATGCGATATGATGCAATTTGGTTAACTTGAACTTAATTTATTAATTTAACTTTACTTAAAATTTAAGAAAAACTTTAAGTACACTTAAGCAAGCTAAAAAGTATATCATTCGACGCGCCTTGACGTGCTGAGTTCACTGGTGCTTTTCTTTTTGCTCTATCTTAATTAGATCAAAAGTTATATGCGAAAAACTTTTGACCTGTTTTTAGCGAAATTTTTACATTTATACCCCCCCCCCCCCCAAAACCCCCCTAAATATTGACCTAGAGCAACCAAATTTGCACAGGGGCGAGAACTCCAGGGGGTTCACCTACCTACCAAATTTGGTGTTTCTAGGTGCCATAGGAGCCAATCGCGAGGGGGGGTCGCATCGACCCCCCCCCCCTGCCAGGCCGTGTTATGAAAAATGCCCTGCCAGGGCGAGGGTTAATGGGGAGCCGTAAGCCATATGTTGTTTCACTTATGCAAATATAACTAACTTTTCGGGATCTCATAACAAGGCCATGTTGTTTCACTTATGCAAATATAACTAACTTTTCGGGATCTCATAACAACGCAATAATGGCCGTGCAGAATTTGGTGAATGCCATTCGGCTGTTTTCAATTTCTATACTCCACGACTCTGGTCCAGTCCGATCATATTCTTATAACCAGAAGATGAGGAAAAAAACATCACAGCGTATTGAAACTTTGTTATTTCAAGTTTTGCTAAATCTTGTAGGTACAGCACTACAGCAGACACTAAGAATAGTTGCTGTTAACCATATCATCATATAAACCAACTTCTGAGCTGTAAAATTTCCAAGATACCGAGTGCTGCATATGTGACCTGACCATTCCCTCTCATATCATTATTCAATCCTGAATTCAGGAGATGACCACGAAAATGCGAACTGTAGCGCGCCACCGCGGTCGATATCTAAAGCGCGATGTGATTGGGCAACGAAGGACATTCGGGAAAAAACGGGAGCATCTGCCGTTCGGAGGCGGGGAATCCGGGTGACCCTGCCCGCTCCGAGGAGGGCGGCCCTCGGCTGAAGTCGCGGTATATAATGGGAGAGGTCCTCAGTCACAGCATCAATCCAGTTTGGGAACACGTACAGTGAACCAACCGCCACAGAGCAACATGAAGCTGGTAATGTCTACTCGGGCATTTGCAAAACGTTAGATTGCCATGAACTGCTGTCGCACATCTTTGATCTTTCGACGAAAGGCAATGTTTTTGCAAGATGCATCATTTGGTAGCTGACAAGAGAAGGCACTGACACGCTGTTTTATTCTTTACTTTCAGGTTTTGTTTGCCGCCCTGGTTGCCGCGTGCGCCGCCGCGCCGTCCCGCTCCTACGCCGCCCCCGAGCAGCGCTCCCTCCAGCCGGCAACAGTCCGCATCCTGGAGGAGTCCAGCGAGCGCATCGGACAGGACGGCTTCGCCTTCCGCTTCCTCTCCGAGGACAACATCCTGCGGCAGGAGGAGAGCAGGGACGGCACCGTGTTCGGTAGCTACAGCTACACGTCGCCGGAGGGCGTCGAGGTCAGCGTGCGCTACGTGGCCGACGCGATGGGCTTCCGCGCCGAGAGCGACGCGCTGCCGACGCCGGTGCCGACCGAGTACCCGACGCCAGAGGTGCCCGTCACAGAGGCTGAGGTCAGGACCGTGGAGGTCTACACTGCTCCCGGGGCTGAGGTCAGGACTGTGGAGGTCTACTCTGCCCCCGATACTGAGGTCAGGGCTGAGGAGGCTGAGGTCAGGGCTGAGCAGAGCTATTTTGCCCCCGAACCTGAAGTCAGGGCTGAGGTCAGGGCTGAGCAGAGCTATTTTGCCCCCGAGTCTGAGGTCAGGGCTGAGGTCAGAGCTGAGGAGAGCTACTCTGCCTCTGAGCCTGAGGCGCGTGTTGAGGCGCCAGTCAGGTATGAGCGTGTCATCGTCGGCTACAGGCCCCGCTATCAGTGATGCGTATTTATCATGAATAAACTATGCATTGATTTCACGAAAGAACACATCAAGCTAACCATTGCCCGCTCGAACATATTTCTGGCCGCTGAATGAATGAGAGAAACGTGTGATTGCTTTTTCGTGCGACTTTCTTGTTTGAGTGTGTATTTATTATGCGTGCCGAATTATAAATACATTTTCTGCCTTTAAATGCCTTTGTTTCTCTTTTTTTACATATATGATATAGCTCACGACTATATGAAACCTCCTAGCAGGATGGGTGGGAGTTGAAAGTACTCATGACTTGATTTAACCCTCGCCGGCCGAGGGGGGGGGGGCGGGTGCCGCCCCCCATAGGGTTTTTTTTTCTCGCGATAGCTCCAAACACGCTGGCGATAGAGAGCTAAAACTTGGCATACCTGACCTTTGATTCAAGCCGGATCTTTTGACACCAATCGCATTTTTGGGTCAGGTCAGGTCACTGACCTATCATAAGTGAACCTCTGCACGGTCTTCAGATGTCGCAACTTCGCAACGCCCTCACTGCCAGAGGAGATGTCACAGGGAAATGAAACTTGCAGGATCTAGTATCCATTATGAGTCTCACAATTTGTATATCTCGGATTTTTCCTAAAGGTCATATGAGGTCAGGTCATTTTCGTGACCTCACCATTACCTAGAAGTCAATGGGGAAAAATGAAAACTGCTATTCTGGCGCCGGGAACGATCTCCAACTATCTCAAGCACACAGAATCGTGATTTGATGCACTCCTTGCAAGGTTGGATGCGTCACTTTTGCAATGTTGACCTTGCGTGACGTCATTTATGACGTCATCAAGGTCATATTAGTTTTTCGTCAATAACTCTTGATCAAATTGAGCTAGCGAGTCGGGAAAGCCACTAATGGACTCAGAAAGAACTGCCGAATCGAATGATATGCGACATGACCTCTTTCGACCAGCTTCGTGACCTGGGGGTGCTGACCTGACCTTGACCTGAGGCCAACACCCCAAGTTGACCTGACCCGGACAAAAAGTATATCATTCGACGCGCCTGAGCGAGGCGAACACGATGCTGCCAAAATCGCGGCTCTGCGGCCGTTTTTTGCGAAGTTATTCACCAAAAACTGAACCGTACCTTGGGGCACTTGACCTGACCTCAGAGGTCACCGGTTGACCTAGGACCTTAACCCTCGCCCGCACATGCGGGGGGGGGGGGTGGCTGCCACCCCACCCAGGTAGTCTTTCTGCTCTGCACATAACATTTTTAGAACTAGAATTTCGGCCTTTTTTGCCAGTCTTACCTCCCAGCTCCCACCTATCATGGAACATGTTGTTCGACGATGTACTCAAGGTCAGGGTCAAGGTCAACCTAGGTCATCCAAGATAATTGCGTTTTAGGCAAGCTGAATTTACTTTTTTGAAGTTTTTTGACTGCATTTTTGGTAAAAGCTTCTCAGATCGTGATTTCATGTAATATGGACCCAAAAACAATCGGTGCACACATCAGTATACACACAGACACACACAGACATTCAAACACATATAATTGACCTTGACCTTATTTGACCTGAAATGACCTCAGCAGCAAAATTCTGGTCGGATAGTGTGACAAAGAGGTTCTAGCTGGCTTGGCACCAGAAAACAGCATCGTCATCGGTATTTGATAAGCAGCACACTTGATATCCAACGGTGACCCAAAACAGCAACATTTTTTAGTTTGACCTGACCTGGAAGGTCAATGACTGACCTGAGAAGGTAAAACTGGGTATCATTGGATTCGTCTCTTCCCAAAGAATCTTTTTGGTCTCTACCGCTAAGCTCTATCTCCAACAGGAACGAAATGGCGCAGGGGGGGTGGCAACCCCCCCCCCCCCATGTGCGTTCTAGGATGGGAAAATGGCATGTGCGGGCGAGGGTTAAAATCGGGTACAAATCTCTGCGTCTCGTAACGGCACACTCGCTCGTTTTTTCCGCGACGCGCTAGCTCCACCAGGGGCGAAACGGCGAGGGTTAAAGGGTTAAAGGTCGTACCCGCCTCCCCCCTCGGCCGGCGCGTATGTATAGAAAACCAATAGGTCCGGCGAGGGTTAAAGCCCAACACCAAACACACCTAGATATGCTGTGCTGCTGACATCGCAAAAAGGAAAGTACAACTGAAATTAATGCCTATCAGTTATTACCTAACCCTTTGATAAACTCACTTATTGTTGCCGGACGCGTAAAATTGTCAATAAAGTCTAGCTCTGGAACAAGCGCAGCTATAATATGCACAGCTAGGCTATGTAATAGGCACAGCTACGATATGATAGTTATTCGAATAGAAAGCTTTCTGGTTTTCCATTCGCTGTTTTCGTAACGCATAAATGCATTGTGTCCCTAAAGTTATCGATAGCCCACGGCGCACGAAAAATAAATATGAAATTTGTTTTATTATAGTATATTTCTTTTTGTGTTAACACACTAAAACAATGGTTATCTACAGTGAGTTCATACACACTGAAATATGCACTTATTTGTCGCTCACAGATAATGCGGTTCATGATGAACAACAACCTTCTCTTTTCCCGTAAGCGGTATTGAATTGAGTTCTTTGGGAAGACGATTAGTTATCTGTTAAATCTCACCACCAAATAAAGTGTAGGCAGTCTTGGCATTATCAGCGCGGATGACTCCATATCACAATGAAACATCTGAGCCTATTAAAAAAAGCTAAGTGACGACTTCTTTACAAAGTCAATGACTGATCTACAGCGCTTCGCTCAGCTTTCCACGCAACATTCACTTCGCATTGCGACATTCACCTCGGTAAAGCACGCCTCCTGGACCCAGTCCTACAAATCACACAGCGGAGCGTGCTCGAATGTCTCGAGAACGAGGGAGCCCAGTCACATTTGAAGCCAGGCTTTTCCACGACAGAATCCTACTAGAAGCTCGAAAGGATCTGTCCTGTTCAGACAGAGATAGTTATTGGCAGCATTGCCTGGCCTAGCACACACAATACAGGTACCTTGAGATTCCAACTACATATTTCCACATAGAACATTGCAGGACTATCCCTGGGCTCCTTTATTCAAGAGACGGCACGTCTCGACCGCCGACGGTCGCCCCCGACGATTACCCGCAGAGGGCGGCCGCCGGCGCACGCCTCACTCGCGCCACCTACATTCACCGCGCACGACGCCAGCGCCACTAGGCGGCGGTTGGCCTAACTAGAGTGTGAGTAGGCCGTGTTTGTGTATGGCCCCGAGTAGATAGAGCTGCCTGTCGCCGACATGTCCTTGCGCCTCCGACGCCGGTTGATGATGATCATGATGGCTACGACGACGGCAATCATCAGCAGCAGGCCGATGATGGCGATCACGATGGCGAACGTCCGTGGGGAGATGCAGAGGAGGTCGTCGTTCTCCAGATCCTCCTGCGAGGGGAATACAAAACGGTGAAACGTCCACCTAAATGCTGAATGATTGACCGCTAAATGGTTTGATGGATTTTTCATATCACCGTTCCGTGCTTCTATCCTCAGGATGCTGAAATCCTTCTCCTCCACGCCGCAACCCCCTTCCGGGCTGGACAGGCAACCTTATCTCATGCGGGCTGCTCCCTTGGAGCGGCACCGCTGCTCCCGAGGGAGCGCACCCCGTAGCCGGGTGCAGTGAGTGCCTTGGGGCTGGGTGGCCTGTCCTCTGGACGGGCTCAGCCCCGATGACTCACTAGGGTGCCTGCCCAGACCAATGTCTCCCCCTATATCCTATCACCCTCCCGGCTCTGAAATGGTCCCATTGGACCGAAAGGGCCTAACCCAACAAAAAAAAAAAAACAAAAAAAAAATCATATCTTTATTTTCAATAGGTTAGCCACGGGCTCAATATGAAGTATCAAACATTAAAGTAGCCTCCTACTGCACGGGCTGGTACCTAAAACTTGGCTGACTGGTGAACTTGAAATCAACTTCCTACCTTGACCTTCCACTAAAGACGTAACCCTTCACTCTGGAAAAGTCCATCAAATCCTCCCAATTTCCCCCTCCTCACGCACCTTGGTGGGTCCCTGGTCGGCGGCGGCCTCTGCCTCGGTGCCCTCGTCCACGTAGAGCCCGCTGAACACCTCGATAACCCGTCCGTCGTTCGGGTCGAAGTCGTCGACAGTGGCGTTCCTCAGCTCCCGGCGACGGCGCACGTTCGACCCCGCCTGACAGATCGGCGGCTGAGGGAGGGAAGGGGAGAGATGGAGTGTCACAGATGCATTCATAGTCTGTTGATGATGCAGCCTGCCCGCTTCGGAAACACTTAATCATGCAGACAGCGTTAAAATTCAGCTTCGGTAGCTGATTATGTGAACGTTCGTAAAATGTTAAATGAAAAATGGTTCGACGAGTTGAATCATTGATATAGAACTTGATAGATAACAAAAGCAACATCACATGTCGAGATAGCTGAGTGAATTTAATCCTGATATATAACGAATCACGATGAACTTTTATAAAAACGAGAGGTCGTATCATTGGAGCCGTCAGCCGCTGATCAGTAGGCATGTAGGAGAGAAACCCAAAGTACCACACTGCAGCAGCTTAGGTATTTCTGGAACATAGGAACTCACCACATCGTCACAACCGCCCGCTTGTTTGAGGCAGAGTCGCACGTTGCACTGGTAGTAGACTGAAGATGTGTACGGGAACTTGTGTGCCAGGAAGCTGACGGAAGCACTGGTCTTGGACTCGCTGTACTGCAGCGGACCCAGGATGTCGAAATCCACTGGACAGCTGACGAACGGAGAGAAAACGCACACGTCAGCAGTTCCTGCGTCATCGTCATTCATATAGCGTCATAATTAATCAATGACACTCACAGCAGGAAAACCAAGGCAGCGATAAACCCAATTTAATAGGATATCTGCTTCTAATCTAGTGACACCAAGGCAAGTCACATTACGATATGACGGGAAGACGCCTTCTCCAGGTAAATACTGCAGCAGTTCGGGACTGAAATTTCCGCATTTGAGTGCCGAACTCTAGTTCGGCTAGCATGGGGCTAATTCTAGTCAGAGGATAGGATGTGTGAAATCGGCCATTCAGCTGTAAGCTAGCAGATATATGAACAAGAATATGAGCGCTGCGGGAACACACGGGGACTAGCCGGTAATTAGGAAAGAACGATTAATTATCAAATATCTGGTTAGGATACGCGCAGAAGGATGAGATAGAGCGGCGGCGTTCTGTTCACTCAGCTGCATTAGTCGAAAAGACCCATCGACTACTTGACCCAGCCTCCTTCCGCCCCCTCTGACCCATCCCTCGCCCCTCTGACCCATCCCCCGCCCCCTCTGACCTCCCTCCTCTCCCTCCAACTCACCCCTCTGAGTTGACGAGCTGCTGCTGCCCCCATCCGAGACCGTCTCGAACCAGACAGTCCACCACGCGCAGACCGTACTCCTTCTGCTCGTCAATGGCAATCTCCATGGTGAGTTTATCACCAATGTGCACCGTGCCGGCTACCGTTTTGTCGGCAGCATCGGAGTAGATCCGCATCGAGCAGACGGGCATGGCCGCGGCTGCTGCCGGCGCCGCCACCAGCGCTGTGGATCCCGGCCTCCTGTCGAAAGGAAGAGGGGTCAGAGGGGTGAGTATAGAGGGGGAGGGGTTAGGTATTGGGGAGCGAGGAGAGGGCTATGAAATAAAGAATAAAGATATAGGAACGTCAGATATAAAATGAGCCAAGAAGAAAGGGAGAGTAAGAGTAAGTTAGAGAAGAGAGAGAGAGAGAGAGAGAGAGAGAGAGAGAGAGAGAGAGAGAGAGGAGAGAGAGAGAGAGAGAGAGAGAGAGAGAGAGAGAGAGAGAGAGAGAGAGAGAGAGAGAGAGAGAGAGAGAGAGAGAGAGAGAGAGAGAGAGAGAGAGAGAGAGAGAGAGAGAGAGAGAGAGAGAGAGAGAGAGAGAGAGAGAGAGAGAGAGAAGAGGAAGAGAAAACCGCTATAGAAATTGCGCCATGATGAAGGTAATGGCTCAACGCTCCGATAATTGGACTTAATGAGATCATGAGGCTATTCTCTCGAGCCATTAAAAACGGTACGATAATATCGATGATGATCTAATATTGGAGGCCCCTATACTGATACCGCAGCGCATTCACGAGGAAAAGGAGGATGCTTTCGGCAAAGACGCAGTTCGAACATGGAAAACCATTTGTGCTGTGTCGATGAGTTCTTTAAAGTTGAAGGTATAACTGAAAGCTGAAACACATAAGTACGGGTTCTCGTATGTACTGGGAGAACCTTTGTATATTTCATTTGAGGCTGAAAACGGTTCAGTTTATGGTGAGAGGAAAATATTCCAGAAATCCAGATTATCTCCAGTAAATAGAGACATACATAATTACCTTAAAAAAGGACGCAAATTTATTGCGTCAATGCCCAATTAAGTAAATTTAAAGTTTAGGCCATGCTATTCTTTCGTCGAGGAATATTAGTGTTTTCATAATTTACCCACAACAAATTGGAGGTAATGAAAAACGCTAATCATTGGAGCCGCTGGAGGCTTACGGGAGCCACCAAACCAGGATGTGGCGCAGCCAATAACCTCACGACTGCACACAAACCATGAATACCGCAGTGCCAATGGGAGCGGTTCCACTGCACTGGGTCGCCTCTGCAGACCACTGGGTGACGTCACACTAGTCTGACGTCATCACCAGTACTCGGAGGGTCTGGTCGGGGCAGTGACCTCGGCTGACCGTTTAAGGGAGGTGCCGCGCCGACCAGGCTGGGTGGAGGCGATGGTCTGCTGTCTGCAGGGGCGGCGGGGACATGTGGAGACTGGCACCGTTATTGAGCTGGCAACCAGCGGACCATCTGGCAACTCGCCATGGACAAAGGCAGGAATGGGCACACAGTACACACCTATACTTGCAGTGGTGCAGCGAATGACACCAGGCAAATAATGCATGCGACGCCTCAGTGGAGAAGTGTGGGGAAGTTAGCCCCAGCTATATACGAACATGTTCGTAAAGATTTGAGTAACTTACATGTTTGAAAGAAGGTAGCGGATATATGCCTTACGGCTTTATAACGCTTTTCAGTGTAAGTGAAATATGTAAACCTGGGTTAGTACCTATCTGCAGAGAGCGGTCGTGGTAGACAAAAAGGTTAGTTAGAATCGTCATGAACTTGACGGCGCTTTATTGATTTGATGGTGGGTATAACGTTTACGTAATTATCACTATTACAATGGGACACGGGCTGCTTATGAAATAGCTGACTGAACAAAGGGACGGCACAAACACAATGCAATGCAATATGTACGAAAGTACAATGTAATACACAGATACTACCGCATGCCATTGTCTAATGCTCAATGCCCATGTGTGCAACGTTGCAGTCACCAGTCATTGACTCAATGCCCTCGGTTCATCTCACAGCTGGTAGCGGTAACTGGGCCACCAGCATGTCTGCAGCATTGCCGAGCCCGAGACATTTCGTTAATTAATGGGAGTGCAAAAAGAACAAAATGCCACTAACGAGTAACGACTGGTCACTGCATTGTGAGACCGTAACGACTAACGTGTACTGGCTGCTGGATAACCGGTACCTATACCGTATGAAAACACGTGGGAAAACCGCCAGGTAAAAACGTGACCACGTCTGTTCATTGGACCAGTGCACTTTGGTGAACGGAGGTTAACAGAACGATGAAGGTATCCATAGCTGCAAATGTGCAAAGCCTCCACCAGTCACATGTTCTCCTCAGACGAACAACCGATATCCAGATCGATAGGCAGTTCACATCGCTGATCTGCGACTAACAGCTGTTGTCCAGGCACAGCTGTACCAAAGTCACTATACCAGAGCGGTCGCGTCAACCAGCGCCGTCCTCGTTCAGTCCAGCATCAGGCAACTCAGAAGTCAGAACGCTGCATAATGCATATGTAGGTACTCGTAAGGGTCGCAGCGCTAGTCTCACTCTGCCTGGAGCAGCCGCCCTCAACCGCCGCTCTACATAGGGCTCTCGTCCCTCTGCCCAGACCAGGTGGCTCTCCAACAGAAGGGTCGCGATGTCCCTCAAACTCTGCCTGCACCAGGCGCCCTCTACCGTCCCTCTACAAAAGGGTCTCCTCGTCCCTCTGCCCAGGCCAGGCAGGTCTCTCCAACAGAAGGGTCGCGATGTCCCTCTCACTTTGCCGGCACCAGGCGCCGCCCGTGTCTCA